GACTCAACGGATCCACTTCAAGATCGTTTATACAAACTTCAGTATCACATGTTCCTATATGATCAAAAATTCGAGAAGTACAAAAGATATCTACAACAACAGTTCGAAAAGGAACAGGAAGAAATTTTGAAGAGATTTGGTGAGAAACTCAAAGAGCTGGATGAACAGTATGCACCTCCTCAAGGGAATCAACAACCAACTCATCAGGAGCTGAGTTTGCAAGAAGGGGAGTCTGATGTAGACAAAGGGGGGGTCAACACTAGTCCAAAATAAATCATATTTTGGCTTCCCTTGAGTCTAGTAGTTTATCATATTTGAGCTGAACTTTTAGTTCATTTATGAGCTGGACTTTAGTTCATTTATTGAACTAAGGGTTAGCTCATTATGAGCTAACATTTTAGTTCATTTATTATATTTTAATTAAATATTTTTAGGCTTTTTATGTTATAGTCTTTTGGGTTTCCAATGGGACTTTTGGAATCCCAAGTGTGGTGTTTAGTATTCCTATGTATGACCCCTTGGTTTCCACCAAGGTTTTTAAGATTTTTATGTTTGCCTCTTGGGATCTCACGGCTGGGCTCCTTCTCCCGTGGCCGTGGCTCTTTGGTCCGTGCGGTTCCTTCGTTTCCCGTGGCCGTGGCTCTTTGGTCCGTGCGGTTCCTTCGTCTCCCGTGGCTGTCTCCTTGGTTCCTGGTTTGGGTGTTAAACCGTGAGCTTGGGGGGAGATTCCCATGCTTTTAATGCTTAGGTATATGTGTTAAATTTATGTAATGTGTCCTTTTGTATTCCCCTTTCATACCTATAAATATGAGGGGTTATGTATTGTTTGAAGTAGTAAATGATATTTGATTTTTGGAAAAAAATCTGTTAACCTACGGGTTGCTTGGAAATCCCGCGGGCTCTTTCCAGCCTTCTTCCTCATCCCCTCCGGAAATCCTGCGGGCTCTTTCCAACCTTTCTTCTCGGGCTTCTAACCTCTTTCGTCTCTCCGCAAATGCCACTCCACCTGTATCTTTCTTCTCTAAGTGCAGCAACTTTAGGGTGTCGTCATTTTATTTCAAGTCGAGTTTGTGTTTTTAATTTCTTTAATTTCTTTAATTTGAAATGTAAGAGTTTGTTCTCGTCTCTTTTCTCATCTTTAGTCATTTCGTCCGTAGAAGTCCGTCGTGTCTTTTGTGATCGAGAGATATAGGGTCCCCTGTATCTCTTGCTCGCATCAATATACATGGGGTGGCTCTGGAATTTAGTTTGTCGTTGTGAGGGTGGTTTCCATGGGTAGCATGCACAGCCGAAGGTGCGTAGAAGAGAATAATTGGGTACTTTGTTATAGAGGAGCTGTAGCGGTGATATGTTATTTGTGGTTATAGTGGGTAAGCGATTGATAGTGGGTTGATGTGAGTGTTGTGTCCGGCTAGAATGAAGGAGGAAGATTGAATGTATGAAGGAGAGTGCGAGTTATTCCTATGATGTGTTGATTCTTGCATTCGGCACTGCCGTTTTGCTCGGGGGTATAAGCGCATGAAATTTGTGATGAATACCATTTGCTTGGAGAAATTGGACAAGTTCATGGTTGAGATATTTGGAGCCACCGTCGGTGCGGAGACATTTGATTTTCATGGAAAGTTGATTTTCAATGAGTGTTTTAAATTTTATAAAAAAATTGAGAGACTTCATTTTTGTAAGTCATGGGGAATAGCCAAGTGAACTTTGAAAACTCGTCAATTAGTAGCAGGTAGTATTTAAACCCTTGATGAGAAATAACAGGGGAAGGTCCCCATGCATCAGAGTGAAGTAAATCTAATGGAGAAGAAACAGTAGTATTAGAACTATGAAAAACAAGTTTTTGGCCTTTTGAGACCGTACAATTAGAACAAAAAACTGATAGATGTAGGGATGCGAAGATGCTTGTTCTGCAGTGAGATTTTGCACTGCACTTGGTGGGGTGAATGACCAAAGTGATTATGCCATAGAAGAGTGCTGGAGGATGTGGAGGGTGATTTAATTCAGTAGAGATCATTTCTGCAAGGACCCGCTAGCAAGATTTGGTTGGTCTTCAAGTTTGTGATAGTGATGTCGGATGATGAGAATGAAATGGAAACGTTATCGTCAGATGTAAGAGAGGAAACATATAGTAGATTGTGCTTGAGATTGTGAACATGTTCAATAGAGGATAAGGATAACTTATGTCTGGGAGTTGGTAAGATTCTCGTACAGGAGTGTGCAATTGGAAGAGTTGCACCATTGCTGATTGTGATGTTGTCCGATCCACAATATTGTGTCGGTTGTTGTATATTGTCAAGATGAGGCGTGAGGTGAGACATTGCACCTGAATCAAGGAATTAGTCTTCAGAGGGTGTGGAAGTACTGGCCACCAATGTCTTAGATAATGTGGTTTGTGGATTTGGTGTGTAATTGATGTTGAACCTGTGCCAGCATTAAGCTACTATGTGGCCCCTTTTGTTGCAAATTTGGCATAAAGTTGGAGATGTATTTGAATCATTGTTTTGTAAGTTTTAGCATGAATAAAGTAAGAACACATGTAAAGGACATTGCAAAGAGAAATGCTTTGAGGCAGTTTCTGTATTCATTTGAAATGCTACAATATCGATGACATCCTTTGGTCTGTTATATAAAGTAGTGTGAGAGTGTGTGACTTTACACGTGTAGGTTAGTGATTTCTCTGGGTTGTTATTGTTGAATGTCTTGATGCTCCTGTTGTGGAGTTTGCTGCTTGTTGTCAGAGGTAGTGGGATTGGTTGCTTTTACACGGTAGCCCGAGGGCCAGCTTGGACTCTCCTTGCACTCTTTTTCTTCACACCTCCCATCAATCAACGATCGACGATGAAAAGTTGTCGACCAGATCTCCACACATTTGTGACTCTGACGCATCATATGGAAGAACCTCGTTAGAGAGCGATATTGTTACTCCAAGAACCCCAATATCAAGTCCTAATTGAGAAGCCAATGAAAAAATTATAAATAAAATAGAGGAAATATGTCAAATATTAGCTCAGAAAAATAATGAGAAGAGTTGTCATCACGAAAAAAGAATAATTCAAATCCCAACAACCCTAATCCCCTGTTCGCCACAATATCAAGATCGCAAATCAGGAAAGTTCTCACCTTTCCAACCAAGAGAGATATGGACGATCCAATATTCTGACATGAGACCAATATCGCTTGCCGGTAGGAAAAGTTTCAAATCAGGGTGAGAACGCACGATAGAGAAAGAGAGATATAGAGGAAGAGAAAAGAAGAGATGTGGGGGTTTCTATTAGATTTATTACACACTATCACTCTCTTAGTTCATGTCCTA